TGGCTAAGGAAAGGACTGGTTTAGACCTGCAGTGAGCCAACACTCCACTTGCAATACACACACACAGACACACACTTCTTCAATAGAGTTAACCTATGAACTGAGTGCTGTCACAATGTGAAATAAGGCATGAACACATACATACACACACACACACACACACACACACACACACACACACACACACACACACACACACACACACCTCTAAAAATACATCCAGAAACACTGCATAACATATGAATTGAGTGTGGGCATGATGTAAAACTTGCCCACTCAAAATACACACACACCAGGACCAGAAGGACTGTCTCAAGGTGGTCCTTTTCGATGACGTCAGGACCGAGCCAGAGCCTATATCACCTAAAAATATCAGGACTGTACGAGTGCCTACACACATCTGCTCTATGACACGGTTGCTGTGTAAGGTACAGCAGTTGTGAGATGTGAGCTCAGGGGAGTGAGTGTGTGTGTGTGTGTGTGTGTGTGTGTGTGTGTGTGTGTGTGTGTGTGTGAGAGAGAGAGAGAGAGAAAAGGTGAGTACTTGGGTGTGTCTGTATTTTGTCTGTGTTTTATGGGTGCATAAATCATATGAGACAACTCCAAAGCAAATCAACTTTTGGGACGAAAATAATTTAAAAACAAAGACAAAATACATAAAGAGAACTGTTTTTTTTTTAAAAAAAAAAAAAAAAGGCTGCTAAAAGTGAAAAGTAAGAAAGCATAGTGTGTTAATATCAGGCTGGTATAAAGGACAACACATACAACATACAACATTTACATTTATTTATTACTCTGAGGTTTAAAGGCTTTGCTCAAAGTTACAACAGTGGCAGTATCATGGAGCCAGGATTTTATCCTTCTGATTATTCATGAAGTTCTTACCACTGAGCAACCACCTCCTGACACCTTCAAATTATTATTTAAAAAAACAACAACAATGACTCCGTAAGGAAGGAATGAATCTCAGACACACTGTAAAAACATTTACATTAATGTTTATCCTAAATGCTGTAATAACGGATGGCTGTCGAAACAAAGGCAAAAGTACAAACGGTACAATACAAACTATAAGGATCGCACTCTTGCTAACTGCTAGCTGATTTTCCACATGCTAGAAATGAGATTTAATGTGTACAGAATGAAGATGATGAGAACCCAGGTAAATAGCTGATGTAAACAGGAAAGCTCGATCGACTTTATTATATAGAGACTGATATCCAAAGATCACATGGTAATGCATCGAGCAAACAGGGCCAGCGCAAGAGACACAGTGAATGTGTGTGTGTGTGTGTGTGTGTGTGTGCGTAAAACTCACGCAGGTGTCCAGGCAGTCTGGCCGGCTCTTCCTCTGTCTTGGCATTAGTCAGAGGCGGAGCGCCATGGCCTGGAGAGGAAGTGGAATTTGGCAGTGGACTGGCAGAGGGACTGAATGCACTCCTCTCCTGCTAAAACACACGCACGACTTAAGAGAGGCATCGCATGCACAAGCAACTGTTACACATGTCTACTTGCCACTGGATCACAAATGCAAAAGCAAATTTCACCTCAAGCTGCTTTTACAGCGTCAACAATGGAAAAGAAATATCACACCTTTACTGTCCTAAAATTATCAAAATTATCATCAGATGAACATAAATGCTGGGAAAATAGACTTTCTTGTGCCTCCAACAACCAAACACAAGTCTGTCACATTAGTGACAGTAGAGCAGTGGTTCTCAAAGCAAAAGAGTTTTGTTTTGTTTTGTTTTTTTAACACTTTTGTTGCAGTGGTGGCAATCACAGCCTACATTATCAAAAGTATAATATTTAGGGGTCCAAGCACTAAAGTCAACTCATACCTAATGTGCTCTATTGGTGTTTAGGAATAGAAAGCTCTTTTTCAAAAAAAATATTATTTGAAAAACTTGTATAATGTTCACGAAATAAAGCCATACTCAAGGGGGTCTGGAGAATTCATTTTGCAGTTAAATGGGTCCCTGGTGACAAAAAGATTGAGAACCACTGCTCTAGAAGAGGAGTACATTTGCAACACCGAGAGATTTGCGAAAGACAGATTTGTCCAATATCCCACTGAGAAAAATGGAGCAGTCTTTTCTTTTTATTAACTCTATATACTTTATACAAAATGTGGGACAAACTAAAGGAAAGACAGTGGCTGTGTTGTGCTGTGGGGACATGCTGCTGGCATGACTTGAGAGACGAGTCAGGTTTTTCTGACTGATCACCTTTATCCTATGATGAAACATTTCTATCCTGATGGGAGTGGGAGTGCTCTCTTCCAGGACGATAACAATCCCCATCCACGGGGCATGAGAAGCTACTGAGTGGCTTGGTGAGTATAAAAATAAGATGTAAATCACCAGAGCTCATAACAGCTGAACACCTATGGGAGGCTTTTGAGCAATGAGTTAAAGAGCTCTCTACGCCTTCATCATAATCATCATCAAAACACCAATTGAGAGAATATCTTTTGGAAGAATGGGGTTCATTTCTTCTGTACCGTTTCAGAGACGGACAGAGTCGATGACAATGTGCACTGAAGCTGTTACTAAGACATGCTATATTGTATAAGTACACTGTATAGGTATATAATATCTTTAGGCACTACTTCTATTTCCTGAAATGTCCTACAGAATATACTAAAAGCATAGATATTAAAAACTGTGTCTCGTATTATTTTATGACCCCCATGGCCAATGACAAGATCATTCTACAGAGCCGATTCAAATCACTGATATCGACAAAATGCAATCCCGCTTTGCTCCACTCATTCACATCGTTGACAGGATTTTGACTGCGCTGGAAACGTTAGCAAAAACTGTGGAATTTAAAAGCTGACCTGCATAAATATTTCAGAGTTACTCGTCTCATGTAAGCAGGTGACAGGGGTGTGTTCAGAGGCAACTCTGTGCAAATGAAAACATGCAAAAATCAAAACCGATAAAACCACTTTTCTGTGGTGGCAATTTGACTGTCACTTGATGTGCAGAAAAGCTGCTCTCGTCAAGAAGCAAAAAGAGCACAAGGCGGTGGGAAATGTGAGAAATGGTTCCAGTATGTACTGGATCACCGCATAGTCATCAAACATGTGTAAAATCAGTTGTGTCATGCAAAGTGACACTGTTTATCCCTATGGGACTATATATAAATCTATATATGCATATTATTTATAGTAAAGAATACCAGTCTGTTGGATTAGAGACAAAAAAGTCAATCATTAAATCTGATTCAAGAATGGAAATGTTATTAGGCAACATATCGACATATTTTGCCAATAAGACTCAGGTCACATGTAAGAAAGACACATTGGTAAGTTTTGGACTGGAAAATAGATCCTCATAGATCATACTCCAAATATACAAATGTTCTGTTTTAAATAATCGAAGTGACTTGAGATGCAGCTTTGTCGAACTCAACACTGTATAAAGTGTATTAGTCTTGACGAGAAAGAAAATCAATCTGCATTGAGCAGCTGACGGTTAAGAGCCTTACTCCGGGGCCCAGTAGTGGCAGCGCAGAGATTTGAACTCACAACCTGCTGATCCCCAGTCCAACATCCCAACCACTGAGCTAGAGCTACCACTGCCCACAACCTAAAGTGAGAGCAATGTCTATATGAAGTGTTAACCTTCAGATTAGAGGTCAGACTTTCCTGAACAAGTTCCACAGTGACACTACTTCACATAGTTAATCTGCTTGGTTTAGATAGTTTACACACTTTTGGTTCATCTTTTGACCTTGCCCCCAAACACTTCTAAACAGTTACGACAAGACCAAAATACCGCTTTTTTTTATTTTTTAAACGGACCTCAGTTATGTGTGTTATGTAATTAATGGAGGCACTGGAGTAATTTGACATATAAACCACAGCTTATGTCAAAGTTCAACGCAGCGCGAAATAAACAAACTAACAAATACAATTTTGGGCTACAAATACTCTAATTCACTCAGGAATATGCTTGGTCACAGCTACACTCATTACTGTGTTAAGTAGGCCTGGAAATTCCGTATTTATCCACTCGACGGTTGCTCAATAGTGATGGATGGACCTTGATTTGGTGTGTGGGGGAAAAGCGGCTCTGCTGTAGAAGCTACACGGATGGCGCAACGCAACACTGTTGCAACCTATTTTTTATTTTTTATTTTTAAAGCTACAATTTTCTAAATGAACAGGAACGAAAGACTACAAGCTTATGTTTCGACGAATTTCCTATGAAAGAGTGTATAAATCTGACGAGAAACACGAGAAACACTAGCTAGCTACAGGTCACAATGTGTTTTCCTGCCTCACCGCGACAAATCCTCTCAGCAACAGATGATAGAGCCAAAAAAAAAAAAAAAAAAAAAAAAAAAAAAAAAAA